ATGCGCTCCTCTCTTCTTGTCGGTAGATAAGGCTAGGAGCGGTTGTTGAAGGTAGTCGTCTTTCATTCTCGTGGTTGTACTCTATCATCTAAATTTTTTAAGCTGGCTTTAGGGCAGGTTTGATATTGTTGTACTTTGAAAAAAAATTTCTTTTGCTGTGCTGTGAGAATAAACTTATTTTTGTTGCTTCACGTTTTCAGCTTTTTTTTTCACCCAAAATTATGAAAATAAGCTGTTTTTAAGTGTTTACCAAACACCTTTTTGAGCTGAACTTTTTTTCATACCCACTTTTTATAAAATCAACTCAGTACCAGACTAGTACTTAAGGCCCTATGTCTTGATTTTCTCATCCTTTGGTGGGCTTATCCAAATCTTATATGTTAAGCTCAAAACAACTTATATACAATTTTAATGAGTTTGAAAAATCTATACGTTAACAATGGTCTGCTCATTTAGAGATTTTATTGAACAAAATTTTGATCATGTGATTTATCAATCAATATTTACCTAGTTGTAAGTTGTAGCATTGGAAATGAGAGATGAAGTCACAAAGTAATCATGAGCTACAGCCCCATAGCTACAAGGTCTATGCTTTTATAGATTCGTTTTGCCACTTAATGGAACATTGTTCGAACAAGTACTTGATCAAGGTGAAACTGAAGTAATCAGAATCTCTACCCAAGATGTGGAAACATTTGCTCCAAGTTCAAACAAGTACTTGATCAACAAGGAAACCTTTACTACAAGGGACAAGTGATGAGAGGAAACGGTGGACCCACACAATCACATCAAAGGGTAGCCTCGTCACTCGTGATTATTTTCATTAAGGAGTGATTTATTTTATGTCTTTATATTAGACAAAATTCATTTTAAGTATTTCTCTAATAATATAATAACATGTGATATTCTGTTACTTATTTTGCATAGGCCTAACATTTGTGTTGTATTTTTCGTTATCATGTCGTTTTTCGACACACTCAATATCCTAACGGGTCGTGTCGTGTAACACCCGTTAAAGTAAACGGGTAATATGATCCGACCCGATATCGACCCGTTAATATTATCAGGTAATATGATCCAACTCGCTACAAGTTAAAGGAAATATGTTATAAATCCATAAATAATAATAAGAAAACATAATTTGATCCAAAAAAAAAAAAAACATAATACTACATTAGTATATGCATACCGCACTGTTACATAAATATTACTTCAAAACATTAAAAAAGAAAAAAATTTACCTTTCAAGTATTAGATACCCCAAAAGAAGAGCCAAATGAAAAAACATTAGTACATTACTACAAAATATCAAATGTTCAAGTATATGCAAAATAAAGGGAGTTGCATTTCATGAGGTTTGTATGGTTTTAAAAATCCGAACGACGATGTACCCATCCCAAAGCATAGACGATGTGATAACGAGCGTTTGCATATTTCTTCACACTTTTTGCACTTGTAAATTAATTATTATAATTTTTTAATGTGTTTGGTACTTTTAAATTACTTCATATTTTTATTTTTAATTTTTTAAATCTCACTCTATGCCTATAGTATACTCTAAAATATAAATAAATAAATAATTAAAACTTTTTTTTTTTAATTTATATAGAATAATAACTACTATAATACATATTTAATATACAATATATGCATATACACTATGACTATTATATGTTATAGTAAGTTTATTTAGTAGTTTAAAAAATTAAAATCATCAAAATATCTTCTTTTTTTAACGTGTCAAAACGGGTTACATGCGTGTCACTCCCGTGTGAACCTATTAAAGACCTGTTATTAACAGGTTCTTATAGTGTAACCCTCTAATGACCTAATTAGTTATCGTGTTGATCCGAAACCCTATACTTTCGTATCATTTACGTATCGTGTTAATGAGTCATGTAAGAAATTAGCAGATCTAATTTTGAACACATTGAAAATTCTCTCATTTACTACGGTCCTGGAATAACTTCTTGAGACTTGCAATTTGTTTTGGGATCTATAAACTAAATCAAGCTAAACTATTAGAAAGATTATTTTTAGTAAGAGTAACAACGCTAAAGTGAATTAAGTAATTAGTGAGATAAATATATTGAGATGAATCTCATGTTACAACCAAAGAATTTCCAACAAATTGTACCTAAAAAAATATTCTCTAAAGTGATATATCTAATATTTATTTATCAGACGGGCACAAAATATTTATAAATAAATCTGAGAGTTGAATATATGGAGACATATTTTGATTTAAATTCCATGAGAAAGCTATCGATTTTTTCAGTTAGATTTTCTCGATCTACCTTATCGACTGTTTATCCTACACGACGACGAAATTCGTCTACTTCTTATATGCCCTTTGTATTCAAAACTGCAAAATAAGCAATTGAATCAGAAATTTCAGTCTCACAACCTTCCCTCATTTAATCTTCTATTTGAAAAAAAAGGGATACAAAATCTTCTCATGATTCCTGTAGCTTCTCTGCCCTTTCCGAGGAAGCACCCCCACCAAGCCATACAGCAAACAGTTCCACAGGTAGGATTGCCCGGGGTCCCACCAAAAGTCACGACAACAAAAATTCCAGACCCCACCATGTAAAACCGGAAGCAGAAGTTTAATAGCTTCTTCCATAAGCAAAAAACGTCCCCTGAAAGCCCAAGACTTTGATCGACCTCAAGTCAATTACTGTTTTTCTTAATCCTACAATAACCCACCCAGCATTCCATTTCTCCTACATGAAAGAGGATGGCTTCCAATGGAATCCCCTTCACCAGAGCAGCGGCAGGTGGCATATCACTGCCAGTGGGATTCCGATTCCACCCCACAGAAGAAGAGCTGATCGGCCATTACTTGCAGTTGAAGCTCCGGGGAATGGATTCCCTCGTCAGCGACGTCATCCGTGAAATCAACATGTGCAACCACGAGCCCTGGGACTTGCCTGGTAATTATTTGCAAAACCCCAGGTGTTAAATTTTCATTATTTTTCTTAGTTCAATGAGTCTGATAATCTGTATAATCTGTATTTGCCATTTGGTAATTGGGTTTAATCCATATGTAACTTATTACCAAACCCAGTTCTTAAAAAGTTCAATCTTTTTATTTTTTTTTTGGTGACAACTTTAGTAATGTGTAACTTATTCTAAAGTTTGAGTCTCTGTTTAGGCAATTGGGTTTGATCCAAACGTAACTTATTACCAATCCCAGTTCTTAAAGTTACTATTTTTTTTTTCTTTAGTGACAATTTTACGAAGGTCAGAGATTTTAGCACGTAACACTCTTCTGTGAGTTTGAAAAATTGTAAAATGTTCATTTTTTAAAGTGCAAATAGCTGTAGATGGAGTGCGACAATCACTACCTTTTTACTGATACTTTTTAGTTTGCATTTGAATGAGTCTAAAAATATGTGTTGGTTTGATCCAAATGTTGTGTTTTTATGCAGAGATGTCACTGATAAAGTCGGATGATGAGGAATGGTACTTCTACAACCGACCAATTTACAAAAAAAACAGCAGAAACGACACCGAAAGGGCGACGAGTGAAGGCTTCTGGAAGATCACTGGCCCGGTGAAAGAAGTCAGGGCTCGAGACAACAAAACTATCGGTAAAAAGAGGATTCTGACATTCTACCGAGGTCGCGGTCGTAATGCCCAAATTACCCCCTGGGTCATGCATGAGTTTTACATCCCTCAAATCAGTCCTAATGCTAATCAGGTCGTCGTTCTCTTTCTGTTTTCGGGTTTTTGTTAATAATGTTATGGATATATGATGTACAATTTGCAGCATTGTATGAGGCAAGTTCTAAACCGGAGGCTTGAAGGGTTTTGGTTGTGAAACTCAAGTCTATTTGGTTTGGTTCGAAGGGGTTTTGGTTTTGAAATCATTGAATGGATCAAAATCGAAACCCCTTCAAGCCAATTGGCTTGTTCTGTAAATGTGCAAAGTTTAGTGACTTTTGGTTGGAACCTTGTTTAATTTTCTGTTGGTGATACTTCATTACATAATTGGTTTTCCAACTTATTTGCAGAGGGATTTCGTTCTCTGTCACGTGAAGAAGAAATCAGGTAAGAATACGGACGTTGCAACCTGTGATGAAGGTGAATCTAGTAAGCACAACAGTGCACCTGACTTTGAAAATCAACCACAACCACCACATAATATGGGTGTTGAAGAGGTGAGAATGTCAAGCACGAATGGTGATTAAAACTTCTTCATATATATATATATATATACACACTCCGAGCAAAAGAAACAGATCCAAAACGTTTGCTTGTTTGTTGTTCATTATGCAGGAACATAATCAGCCACCACAAAATCTGGACATTTTTCAGTGGCATATGGGCAGTATGCTTGCAAATGCGCATGATAATAATGATTACCATGGAATGCAATCTGCACTTGCAGCTAATGAACGGGATGAAAATTCAGACGGGGAGTTCGCAAATACACTTATTGTTGACCCGTATCAGGATTCCAGTCAAGAAATGACTCACACTAACATCCTTAATGCCACTGAAGAAATGATTCGGCGGTCCAAAGCTGTCATTGGTAAGAAGAGGACCTTGACGTTCTACCGGCGTTGTGAGCCTAAACCGAAAAAAAACCAACCGGGTCATGCACGAGCACTATCTCATAGATAGTGAAGCCAATCCTAAACTGCCTCAGGTCGCTCTCTTTTCCAGTTGCAGAGTTTGCTATTTTGTTCTTTGTTAATTATCTTTGGATTATGCGACATCAAACTTGTGTCGGATTGATGTTTCCGTGTTTAACATACATGAAGTAATAGTTTTGAAGTGTGGCAATTGGATTGGATCTATAGCTCATAATATTGTTGTCCAACTTATGCAGAAGGATTTCGTTATCTGTTGCATGAATAAAAAATCCGATGAGGAGGTTACCTCAATCGGTGAAGTTGAACTTGGCAGCTGTAGTGTGTCTAATATTGAAGATCATGCTGCAGCTGTTGTGACTCCAGGGGTGAGAATGAGAATCATCTTACCTTTTAACATTTATCTCATGGATCATGAGAAATTTATCGAAACTTAATGCATCACTCTTTGATTCTCTTCAGTTACAGGATAACGGTTCCTCTACACTCCTATCATCAGGATACATAGAGCTGGAAGATGTTCTGCAAGCCAATGGCACTAATGATGATTGTAATGTAATACAATCACCATTTGGAGATAATAATTGTTCTTATACCAATAAGAATAATATTACAACCTGTGATGAAGGTGAACCTCATAGTTTCACCGTATCTGATTTCGAAAATGAAACTCCACATGATATGGGTCAGGAGGTGAGAATAAAAATGCTTATTTGAATATTTCTAATATGAACTTTATTAACACAAAAGTGTATCAAAATTTAACCTGCTTGTTTGTGATTTTTAATCCAGTTATGTGCTCAGTCACAAAAAGACATGGATTCACTCCGGTTACATGTGGCACAAGAGTCACCAACATATGTTATATCCAAGAATAATGTTTCTAACAATGATGACGATGAACAATTTATGAACACCGTTTCTAATTCTGAAAATCAAGCCACGAATAAAAGGATTTCAGAGGTGAGAATGAGCCTCTTTAAACATTTTGTTATATGAACTTCTTATGGATATATTCTAACTTAGCTCGTTGTTCATGATTCTTAATCTAGGTATGTCCTCCACCAGAAGAAGATCTAGAAATTTTCTTTTATCCACCTCAACTAGAGGACTACACACTGTAGCCGCCAATGAAAACAACAGTGGGAGATGTTTTGCATGACAATAACTATATTGCATGCAGTGAGTTTCAATCCTGAATCTGAAGCTAATGACTTTTTTTCCACGAAGTTCTTGAATAAGGTTATAGTTAACTATGGTTATTAGTCCTATGAAGAAGTAACATAAACTTATTTTGAATGATTACAAGCTACCGAAGTGCATTAAGGAGTGGTACGAACACCGAAGTAGTGCCATGGATGTGTAAAATGCCTTTATGCATTAGCTTAAGGAGACTAGTAAAGAGGCCTTTTGAATTAGGCATGGAAGAGGTAGCTGGAAGCAACTGAAAGTGTTCTTTCAAGTTCCCTGAAATATCTCCCTGAAGTCGTTAATCAAGTCCCCCATGGAATAATGTTTCGACCAAGCCATAATGCTAGCCTTATTGGCAATGCTTTTGTTTGTTCTGCAGCTGTTGCCGCGTGGCTGCTGTAGTATCTATCAGTTTGCATATTAGTGTTACTTGAGATGTATTTTTGTTATATTTGGAATGATTATCAAAATATATGGTTGTAGTTTAAGGTCTTGAACCTTTTTGTAATTATCCTTTTGTATTGTTTATCAGAACCTCTTGACTTTGAATGGTGTTTTGCATATTCTTTTCTCTTTCTATATATGCAATGTCAATTGTTACATGTTGTCTATGTTACACCCAACTAAGGAGAAAAGATATCCAAAGGATACACGGCTGCAATTAGGCTGCGACAAGGATACTTAGAGTACGATGCCAATCGTACTCTGTGGGTGAGTCTCCTGCCTCGTCTTTCTTAGTTAATGTTCCATGTCAAAGAATCTCATTTATAATACTCTGAAGAAAATCTTTAAAATATACATCCTTTTGAAGGTGCTAGCTATCCTAACTGGGAAATCCTTTTGAAGGCCTCCTTCACAAACAATGGAAATTTAATAAATTATAGGCTTTCTCTGGTTGTATTCTTTTGTGTAGGATGGTAGTTCTTATATTTGTATTTTTTTTATTATTCTCGATGCAGTGACTGGAATGGAAGTAAACGAGGCCATGTGTACAAATTCCTTAGATCACAGGGTTTTGAATCAACATATGACACTGCTCATCAATATACCGATGCGGATGCTCACAAGGTTGGTGTTTTCTGGATTTAAATTCAGAAATCGGTGATTTACTGGCTGCCACAGGGCCCATCTATACAATGTTCATCATCTGTTTTAACGGAATATTTGTATTTTATATCCGAAAGTGGGTTAGCCACCGCAATCATAGGGGAAACATCTGCGGTGTTGACTTCATTTGGCTTTGTAATCCCAATAAGTCACGAAAACCACTAAAGACTAGTTGGTGCGAAGCGGTTTTTGGAATATTACGGGCAAGCAATTCAGTTTCCATATTCTATATTATTGTCATTAATACTCATCCGTTCACATTTTCTCTACGTACTATCTAATTCCTTGCCACAGAGGGCAAGAATCGTAGTTCATCAGATTTATTGTGCACAGAAAGCTTTGTTCAAAACTTTTGAAAAGATGCTTCGATCCTTTATATTATAGGGCATGCAAGCTCTAGACAGTTTCTACATGCAATCCTAGTAACTTCCTTTTTCCTTTTGGGTTTTCAGCGCCAGCTTCAAAAAGCTTCGATGGCTGAAAATGATGCATTTGCCTTTCTGAAGGGTGATAGTCATGGTGATTTTATTACGTCCTCAGCTTTCTGTGAAGCACTACAACAGGTTGGTTCTATTAGCTATTAAGCTGTATAAAGTTCAAATGGAAAGATCAGACTTGCTCATATAGGTATTTTGCAGGTTAATTTAATTGGTCATCCTACGGGACTAGGTTTCCAGGAGACAAGGGATCTCTGGATCCAGGCAGATGCTGATGCAAAAGGTATTCTTGATTACGAAGAATTTAAGGTACATTACATCCATAATAATTTCGTTTATTTTCCTTTTGAAATTACATTAGCATTGCCGTCATGTAATAGTCCTTCCAAAGTACCTACAAGATTAAAATCGCGAGTCTAAAACCCTTGGCATTGCAGAATAGAATTTGGAGTTCGACAGCGTCAGAGGATAAAGAAAGTCTCAACGGTAGTGGAGAGGAGTCCAAACGAGGCACGCAGGACGCCCTCGGATTCAACGTGAAGAATGCAGTTCTATACCCCCGTGAGGCGGAGAAGGGAATATGGCCCGAAGATTATACTCTCTGATCACGCTCCACTCTCGGTTGTACTTTCACCAGAAAGGATGTGGTGTTGTAAGTCATAAACCTCACTTAACAACGCACGAGGAAAGGATATGCAGAATCTGTAGGAAATGTGTATAGCCAACAGAGGAAAGGTCCCTTCTGTGGTAGGAGTGTTTGAGAAAAAGAAAGAAAAGAGCAATATAAGGTTGGAGAGTTTTTTCTGGTTGAAATTCTTCATTCTTTTAAAGGAAACTAATGAAAATGACTTAAAAACTTTGAGTTTTAATGATAAAGATAAAATAAAGGGTAAAGTGAATAGTACCATGATTGATTTTTTAGTATAAAAATATAGTTTTTTTTTAAAGTGCACAGTACCATGAAATTTTCGTTAAATCTCCCTTCTTTTAACTGTTTCTCACTAGCCTTGACCAAATTAATTTTTATCTTTTGGGGAAGGAGGGAGGAGGATCATGTGTATGGGTCTCCAGCAGCTGTAATGTGGAATTCTTTTTACTACACATGCTAAATTAGTAATTTGGGATGTTTTCTGCACATCCGTTTGTATCTCGTCCTTTTGTTTTTTGTGAACAAACCAGACGAGAATCAAGGACCAAAATTAATGGGCGTGCAAAAAGTCAAAACGGGTTTGCAGAAATAAATTTCTCATGAAATCTAGGTACTGAATTGACAAGCAAGACATAGCAAATCTTAGCTGCCATGAGATACTATAGACAAAGCCCTCATAATAACTCATACGCTCGTACCAATGTGTAGCTTTATGCATTGCTCATACACAAAGCTATTTGCATGATTTCTAGGTGTGTTGAGCATAACGCTCGTTTAAGAGTAATTGAAAATCACTTTATCTGAGCGTTAAGCCTGACAACATGTATGTCTCTTTATATATTTCTTTTCCCATCTGTGGCCAGAGCATGGTTCAAAGTTGATGTTTGGACATACCTTTCCTAAAGCTTCGTGCTAGAAAATTGTCAAGCCTGCCAACTGGCTTGATAGGTCAGAATGTGCTTTAAGTTATGCGCTCCTCTCTTCTTGTCAGTAGATAAGGCTAGGAGCGGTTATTGAAGGTAGTCGTCTTTCATTCTCGTGGTTGTATCATCTAAATTTTTTGAGCTGGCTTTAGGGCAGGTTTGATATTGTTGTACTTTGAAAAAAAATTTCTTCTGTTGTGCTGTGAAAATAAGTTTATTTTTGTTGCTCCACGTTTTCAGCTTTTTTTTTTTACCTAAAATTATGAAAATAAGTTGTTTTTAAGTGTTTACCAAACACCTTTTTTAGCTGAACTTTTTTTATACCTACTTTTTATAAAATCAACTCAGTACCAAACTAGTACTTAAGGCCCTATGTCTTGATTTTCTCATCCTTTGGTGGGCTTATCCAAATCTTATATGTTAAGCTCAAAACAACTTATATATTATTTTAATGAGTTTGAAAAATCTATACGTTAACAATGGTCTGCTCATTTAGAGATTTTATTGACAAAATTTTAATCATGTGATTTATCAATCAATATTTACCTAGTTGTAAGTTGTAGTAGTGGGAATGAGAGATGAAGTCACAAAGTAATCATGAGCTACAGCCCCACAGCTACAAGGTCTATGCTTTTATAGATTCGTTCTGCCACTTAATGGAACATTGTTCGAACAAGTACTTGATCAAGGTGAGACTGAATTAATCAGAATCTCTACCCAAGAAGTGGAAACATTTGCTCCAAGTTCAAACATGTACTTGATCAACAAGGAAACCTTTACTACAAGGGACAAGTGATGAGAGGAAACGGTGGACCCACACAATCACATCAAAGGGTAGCCTCGTCACTCGTGATTATTTTCATTAAGGAGTGATTTATTTTATGTCTTTAGATGAGACAAAATTCATTTTAAGTATTTCTCTAATAATATAATAACATGTGATATTCTGTTACGTATTTTGCATAGGCCTAACATTTGTGTTGTATTTTTCGTTATCATGTCGTTTTTCGACACACTCAATATCCTAACGGGTCGTGTCGTGTAACACCCGTTAAGGTAAACGGGTAATATGATCCGACCCGATATCGACCCGTTAATATTATCAGGTAATATGATCCGACTCGCTACCAATTAAAGGAAATATGTTATAAATCCATAAATAATATTATCAGGTAGTATTTTGCATAGGCCTAACATGTCAATCATAACATCATGCAGTCAATAAACAATGGTCTAAAAGTTTAGTTTCCTTCGCATTTTCCCTCACAAAATTTGTGATATCGTGATCTTATTCGATTTGACATTGAGATGTCTTAGAGTAGAGCAGTCCTTTCCAAAGTTTCTAAGTGATGATAGATGGATCAAAGATGAAATCACCCAACCTGGCAATGCCAATTGCAAATGGAATCTGGAAACGTGAGAAAATTGAAAGGGCTATTCCACAGCCAAAGTACGTGGTTTTATACTTTCACATGTGTTGCTCTTAAACTTCTTGTCTCAATTGCAGCTTTAAAAATAGAGTACGTTGCCAATTTGGTCATCAATTATTATCCGAGTGAAAATTAAGTCTTTTTAAATTCATTAAAAATTGCAAATTTCATCCCTGCTATAAGATTCAAGACTATTTTATTCAAATTCTATCAATTTAAGTCACGTGACTAGCATATGATATACTTTAGGAGATAATACCGTTATGTATCAAGAATGAGTATTTTGGCTCGTTTTTGCATGTTTAGAAGAGTCGATAAATGTAAAGGTTTTGACCCTTTTTGAGTGAACTATTTGTTTTAGTGAAGCTTAGAGTTAATAATTTGGTTAGGGGACTAGGAGTATACACATGAATGCAGTTTTGTAGATTTGAAAACCATGGATGATCAACTTGAGCTTAATCTTCCTTAGTACTCTCTTCAAACTTTGAATATTATGCGATCTCTTTCTCCTTTAGAATATAAGATGATGATCATGGTTGACTTGAACAAATTAAAATAAAATAAAATATCAAAGTTAAGAGTGCAAAATGTGAAAATGAAGCATAAATATCACTCTATTAGAAAAGCCTAGTATTGTTACGAGTTAACTTTAACACATCATTGTTTTGTTTTTTTTTTTTTTTTTTGGGAAAATGGGAATACAATACCCAGGCTAAGAAGCCAAACATACAAAGAAAGCCTACCGCAAGGCAAGCAAACAACACAGCAGAGGGAGATAAAAGGAAGACATCATAGCCACTCTACTCCGTCACTCCCTCCACTGTCCATAACCATCAAGGAGGACAGTGTTGAGAATCAATGTCAAGCCCAAAACCATAAGTAATCCACAACCCAATCTAAAGTCCAAGT